CGGAGTCATCGACTGTGGGAATTCATTCGCCGAAATCTGGAGTCGGTGGTGAGAAATGTTTTCAATGAAATTATAGTAGTTATTAAAATGTAAGAGAAATTACATATTCATTTAATAAATAACTTACTTAAATTTTGTTGTTTATTTTATTTTATTTCACATACAATTTTTTTTGAAAAATATTAGGAATGTGTTAAATTGAGATATTGATAGGGTGAATACCCAGTCTACTTAATGCTAGGCAGAATGAGTATAAGGAACTCAAAAATGATCTTTTCGTATTTATATGCAAAGTAAGGTTTATAGGAATAGTTAGGCTATAATATAGTTTCTAGTGTGTAAAAGTAGGTGTATTTTTTTTGCTGTAAATAGTTTTTATATCGTAGATCAAAACTTGATATAATTCTATATTTATAGTATTTATATTTGTATTAAACGATTTATCAATTTGAAAATAACCTTAATTAAGTTAATATTCGTTGCTTAAGTTTCATTAGATAGGCTTTTATATATGTTTTTTTGTAAGTTTGAGTTTTGTTCATAAATGATGTGGCATTTTTATCTACGGCGTCATCGACCGTGGGAATCCATTCGTCGGAGTCTGAAATCGGTGGTGAGGAATGTTTTCAAGGAAATTATAGTAGTTATTAAAACGTAAGAGAAATTATATATTCATTTAATAATAACAAAATAATTAATTTTTGTTGTTTTATTTTATTTTATCTCACATACAATTTTTTTGAAAATATATATTAGGAAATATGTGCAATGATTTAACTTTTTAAACTCCTAATCTATATTATTCAACCTTCATTAAGCCATCCACGTATGCACCCGCGTGGAATTCACTTTTTTTTGTTTTTTTTTGTCTGTTCGTTTTGGGATTTATTTTTTATTATTTTTGGGTTGAGCTATATTATAATAGGATAGTTTTAACCGCGTAGGCAACCGCGTGAGACTTGTTTTTTGTTTTTTTGTTTTATTATTCGTTTTGGATTTATTTTTAACTATTTTGGGTTTGAACTTATTAAGGTTTAGGGTTTATACAACTATTTTGATCTTTAAAACAATAAGCCCAAAAAAAAACATAAGAACCTTATAAACAAAAAGCCCATATGATAATAACCTAAATAAAAAAAAATCAAAAATACATGATAGCTGCGTGGTTTGAACCCACAATCTTGCATACTTAAT